AGGTTGACGTATCAGTGCATTTCCAAGCAAACAGCGTATACGCAAGCATATCATTAAAGATTGCACACCTTCTCCTCCTGACCCATTGAACGGATGCGAATGCGACATGGACATTGTATACCTTCACATGAAACTGAGTTTCTCATTGACTCTTTAACTCTTACACTCCTTTCTCTTCATCGCTAAAGTCAGTAAGGTCATCAACCCTTACACTCCTTTCTCTTCATCGCTAAAGTCAGTAAGTTCATCGACTCGCAGGGTTGGATTAGCTTTCAATGGGCCGTGGTGCTGGTGGGCACATGGCACAAGGATCGCACATTTGCGGATTGCATACTCTCTGAATTGAAGGCATTCTACGTTTCCCAAAAAACGAATGTCTCATTTAAGACTACGACCTCTCCACCGTCATAGTACACTGGAAAAAAAGTCGCTTGGATCTACAGTCCAGGCTCTTGAAAACATCGACAAGAAAAAATACTCTTCATTCAATCGGCTCAAAAGGAAATCTACTTAAACTAAGAAACTTGGTTCTCGATTAAAGCAAAATTTCGATTGAATGAAGAGTATTTTTTCTTGTCGATGTTTTTAAGAGTCTGGACTCTAGATCCAGGCGACTTGTATGCCAGTGTATACAAGAGCAGTTAAAATACGATACTTTTTTTCGGTGTATTTTCATGGTATATGAAAATTAACTACATGCCTGAAGAATGATCAGCAGACTGTAGAATTTTTCCCAAGAAACAGCAACTCGATCTATGATTTTTTTTACACCGGATAAGCAGTCTCCATGGGCGGAACTAGGAACTTTGGGGGGGGGGAGAGGGGCAGAAGCGTACCTACCTCACAATGGGGGATTTGGAAGACTCTTATCGGTCCTAGTGAAGATTCGGGGATTTCTTTTCGCTTTAGAGGGGGGTCTGGGAGACCTCCGGAAAGTTTTGAAAAATAAATTTTCCCCACGGGCAATTTTAAGCTTATTCTTACGACGGAAAAATGTATCCAATTCCCAAAATAAAAGATATGTCATGCATGCATTTACTTTGCGAAGTTCTTCACATTTCTTGGTAAAGGCAAAGTGGATATCCGTGGGAAGCCAGCCCCCCTCCCCCTATTTCCGCCCATGGCAGTCCCTCTAGCGCGATTTTTCTCCAGGAAAATTTAGTATCTGGCGTTTAAAGCCCACCAGTCATTAGAGGCCAGAAATCCTAAAATTCACTTACGGGCCCCAGGGCACTCAAAATTCCAGTCTCTTCTAGGCTTTTCTAAATGTGATTTTTAAACTGCAAGGGGCCCTAGGGGACTTAGTCGAATCACTCGCTAAGAAATAGAACTAAACATAGTGGTCATAAAAAAAAGAAAAAATCACCCGGAAGCCCGTTGGATCAGGGGCCCGAGGCACCACAGCACCCCGGCAAATCCGGCCCTCCAGTTTTCCATTTTTATTGAAATACATCCAGTTGAGATTCGTACTTCGCAACTTTCACCATCTACAAAAGTTGAAACTTATTGAAACACTCTGGAAAATTTTTCTGTGAAAACTCTACTTAACTTGGTTCCTTTCACATCCAACAAAGCAACTCGCAACGAAGATTCGGATTACGTGGGCAGCGCGGAATCTGGTAGAAATACAAAGATAAGTATTCAACATAGGAGGTCGGCTGTCGGCTCCACCGATTGATTTTACTTTCAGCTGTACATTAAGTAGTAGCGAGGCGTGAATGATCGACTATCGATATTTCTCCATTTGAAGCTATGGTAAAGAATCGATTATTAAGGTGTGCGTTGCGATTGATCATTTTTCATAGGTCCAAATGGCAGATCAATCGATATATCGCATAAAACACGCCACGTCACTGACATTAAGCCACCGAGCTCGATGCATTTGCGTCTGAATTCTCATTTTGACCACGTAGGTAAGAAGCTTTCTGTACCTGTGGCGCCTACGAGCCAGACACCCCCTTTCAACCCCTCATTTACGCTAGAACTTGGCTAAGTGCATTTGACTACCGAAGAAAGATCTTCAAGCTGGTGAAAAGTGTTTACACTGGATGGAGACACGGCGGATGTTTCAGAAAGAGCTTCCAAGTCAGGGTTGCCACAGAATTTGGATACTTAAATTCCCTGACATTTCCCTGATATCCCTGACACATTTTGGTGAAACTCCCTGACAATTGAACAAATGACAGATTTTTGAAAAGACACACAGTGTAGTTAGAAATAGTTTTCAGGTAAAATGTGTTGTTCGAAACGTCAAACCCACTTGAGAAAGCAAATAGAGATGATTTGACGAGTTTTTCCTGACAATTCCCGGTTTTCCCTGACTGTGGCAACCGTGCTAAGTTCCATCCCGCCCACAGCCCAGAGGCTAGAGGGATTAGGGATTTATACATTTTTCGGCCAGGTAGTCTCAAAGGGAATGCATATTCTGACATCATGTCAGAGCAATTCATCGGAGCTTTACCTACCGGCAAATATTATAACTTCTGTAAAACAACTCCCCCGCGGAAAAAAACTCGTGAAACCGTATTGAAAACTTGCAACGAAAAGAAGCCGAGAACATACGTAAATATAACCTTTTCAGGCATGTAGAATATAATATGGACGTATTTCTATCAAACGGAACTAAGCGCCAAATTGAGTTCCTCCAGAGGAATTTAGAATGCCGGATAGCGCGTTCTGTCAAACGGAACTAAGCGCCATGGAAAAGCATTGCGAGTATAGGACGGAATGAGCCCGACGCCCGATTCCGCCGCCAATCCAAGCCCCCCTCTACCTTCCTCACCCTAGGGCGCTTAGGTCCGTTTGATAGAAATACGTCCATATGTTCCCTGGTAGCTAAAAATGAGGCTACCTGGAATTTTGGTTACACAGCGATTTTATTGGCTTACTTTATGTTTTATTGGGCGCTGAATCCGAATCTGAAGTTTTCTACCGCGTACCTGGTGAGCATTTTCCGCCATTTTGAAAAAATGGCCTAAAAAGGCCTTTTTTGCGGTTTTTTTTATGTAGCGGCTGCGCATGAGAAAAAATCCCGGATTTAGCTAATGTTTTGAATAGCTGACAAAATTTGGAAGAAAATGGTGTATACAAACGCTAGGTTTGCTTAAAAATTGAGGAAGATACAGCATCGTGAACATCGCGCCCATTCACGTTTTTCGCGACGCACCCGTTAACGCGTGATCCGGCTCCCTGCGGTCAGCTATGTTCCGAAGCGTTCCAAAGTTCCGAGATCCGAGGTTCCTCAATTTTTGAGCAAACCTAGCATATTCATATACCATTTTCTTCCAAATTTTGTCAGCTATTCAAAACATTAGCTAAATCCGGGATTTTTTCTCATGCGTAGCTGCTATATAAAAAAAGGCCTTTTTAGGCAATTTTTTCAAAATGGCAGAAAATGCTCACCAGACACGCGGTAGGAAACTTCAGATTCGGATTCAGCGACCCAAAAAACATAAAGTAAGCCAAAAAAATCGCTGTGTACCCAAAATTCCAGGTAGACTTACCAGACACCTGGAAAATTTGCATAGTTCATATTATTTGGTTTCCATTTCTAACCACTTGTTTAATTATACTCCTCCTTTAAAAACCACCCATTTGCTAAATACAATTCTAGGTGAAGCGCACTTAAGCGCATTCATGACTGCAACAATGTTAACCGAAATTGAAAAGGCCAGCGTGCATGAAGGCTATTTCAATTGTCATCTTCCGTCGCATTTCCAAGGCGCAATGATACAACTATTTGAACTCTCCGGAATGCGTGAGGTATCACGCCGCATTTGAAGGCGTTTTCAAATCAGCCAAGTTCCGATACCCGGATTATTGTTTTGCATAGTTCATATTCTTTTGTTATATTCCGTACCACTCGTTTATTTTTAATCCTCGTAGAAAAACCAACCATTTGCTACATACAATTCCAGCTGAAGCGCACTTAAGATATGCATTCACTTCTGCAAACATGTCAAATGAAATCGACAAACCCAGCGTGCATGGAGGCTATCTCCATTTCAATCTTCCGTCACATACTTACGGCGCAATGATACAACTATTTGAACTCTCCGGAACGCGTGAGGTATCACGTCGCATTTGAAGGCGTTTTCAAAACAGCCAAGTTCCTTTATCGGAATTATCGTTTTTAGTCCAGGCGCCTGGTAGCTAAAAATGAGGCTACCTGGAATTTTGGGTACACAGCGATTTTTTTGGCTTACTTTATGTTTTATTGGGCGCTGAATCTGAATCTGAAGTTTTCTACCGCGTATCTGGTGAGCATTTTCCGCCATTTTGAAAAAATGGCCTAAAAAGGCTTTTTTTTGCGGTTTTTTTTATGTAGCGGCTGCGCATGAGAAAAAATCCCGGATTTAGCTAATGTTTTGAATAGCTGACAAAATTTGGAAGAAAATGGTGTATACAAACGCTAGGTTTGCTTAAAAATTGAGGAAGATACAGCATCGTGAACATCGCGCCCATTCACGTTTTCGCGACGCACCCGTTAACGCGTGATCCGGCTCCCCGCGGTCAGCTATGTTCCGAAGCGTTCCAAAGTTCCGAGATCCGAGGTTCCTCAATTTGTGAGCAAACCTAGCATATTCAAATACCATTTTCTTCCAAATTTTGTCAGCTATTCAAAACATTAACTAAATCCGGGACTTTTTCTCATGCGTAGCCGCTGTATTGAAATAACCGCAAAAAAGGCCTTTTTAGGCCATTTTTTCAATATGGCAGAAAATGCTCACCAGATACGCGGTAGGAAACTTCAGATTCGGATTCAGCGACCCAAAAAACATGAGGTAAGCCAAAAAAATCGCTGTGTACCCAAAATTCCAGGTAGACTTATCAGGCACCTGAACTATAAGAATCAACAGTCAAATCGCAAATTCCTCTAACATGCAACATTTCCATTTGCTCCATGTGAAAAACCAGATGCACTCACACATTCTGGGAAGAAAGGCTGTAACCTAGGAGAGGATTTTAAACGATAAAATGGGAATTAAAATACTCAAATATAAAGATAAATATAGCTGTTTTATTGTTACCTGACTTCAATTCTTGAAATGTAAAAGTAAGTAGGTACACGTTTTTGTGGTTCCATAAAAAAGTAGGAAACATTATAAAAATTGACATTTTATGTTATAAACCGGAACAAAATATGAAAAACTATACCTATCTGCATTGATTCAATGAAAAATATCACAAGTGAGCTTACAACAAAGATTAGAATCTGATCCTGACAGCTCATTTAAGGAGAAAAGAAAGATTTTTGAGGAGGGCCATATTTCTAAGGTGCTTGCTCCTCTTCAGATAAGTTGTTCAAACATCATATACATACTTAATTTTCTGGAGAGCTCACAGTCGGATGCCAAATCTAGTCAAAATACTAGCATTAAAATTTGTTTACAGACAAAGAATGAGAAAACAATGAAACGGCCATTTAAATACAATCAACACTAAGAGGTAAAACAAAAATTAAAATAAATGCAAAGGTTCGTGCAAAATTCAAACATTTTCTCTTATATTATAGAAAATTCTACTGGAGATTCCTAATTTTGCTGAACAAAAATTAGCTCATACTTAGAAATCAAAGATGGACATCTAAGTCCTAAAAATGCATTCACTTATTAAATCATTGATAATAGAACAACGGGATATCTATCACGAGAAAAAAGGGGGAAAACTTACTCGAACAATAAGTAGTCCATCTTTTAGAGCAGATGAAATTGAGGTGGTTGAGAATGCAAGTTAAAAGTTTTGATAGTTCCTATGAATGAATGAAAAAGAGAGGTAGATGGGTGTGGTGAATCAATAAACACATTCGTTCAAGTTGGAACATCAGATGAGGTAAAAAATGTTATGCATCATTGTATCAACGTAAAAAACTCAGATTTCTTTTTCACACAGATAATTTTACAAGTGATGCCTTCAATTACCTGCGCATTAAAGTAATTCGAACGATATGTGCCCGATAAAAGCACTTCCACCTGACTGAGTTTTAACTTGGACTATGTAGTTGCTTCTTCGATCACAATTATTTTCAAACATGAAAAATGCTTCAGCACATTTTATTCGACACTTATCAACACTTATCTGATGTCCAAATCCAAAAGAACTCTTTAATAATCCACCCTAAGGTGGGGACACTGTTGGTATGTTAGGTGGGAAAAGCAAAAAGGCAGACAAACAAAATCAGAATAAGGAAACTATTCTAACAGAATCGAACTCAGTATTCATAACTCTGGAAAATGTTTGGAACATTCTATTCTGGGACACAATAATGCTGAGTAACTGCTGTTGCTGCCAAACTTATAAGGTATTCAGAATCTTTGAAGGAATGTATTTTTTTTCATTATTGATTTGGCTTTCTGATGACAAATGTTACAGTTTCACAATTTACACTCAATACCAATAGAAAATTTAATATCTTGGTTAAGTAAACAATGTGAGAAAAAATGTACCGACACTAGCTCAATTTGGCTTGGTGAGTAACCGTACAAGAATTAAGCACGATAGAGCTGGATGGTTCGTGTTACTGGTTGAAATCTGACTTCTCCTTGAAAAAACTGAGACTTAGCTACATTACATTCATATTCTTACATTATTTCAGTTTGACTCATTACATCAAGTCTATGATGAACTCAACTTAATTTTGACAGCAATAACAAAGAGAGAATTTGAGAATTTATGAGTGTGACTGATTGACAGAAAAAGGTTTTCAAGTTTAATGACATAATAATTCAGGGCAGATGAAGAAGCCGAAATTATTGCAATTCCCTTTGCGATGGAAAGCAACGTTTTATTCTCACTGAAGTATCTATGTAAGGGTTTAATTTAAAGTTGGACCTATGAATGGTAGTAAAAGGCCTGTAAAGTCAAGAGATGAAAGTTAGCTAACAACCAGTAGTCAAAACTTTGACTGTATTTTTCAAAGTTTTCAAAAATTGTAAAAATGTTAATTCGCTTGATATTTTGGAGTTTTTTAGTTGGAGAAATGATCTTCCCTTCAGACCATCTTAATTTTTATTTTTAGAAAGTCAAGGGTCTTTTTCCTTAAAGTAAGTACATTGAGTATTTAAAAAGTAACTAATAGACAACTAAGCACTTGGAGCAAAAAAAAAATAAAAAACTATAATGCAATAGGAGTCATAATAATGAAGTATACTACAAATGACTGAGATAGGCAGGTTGATCCATAAGTCACGCACCGCCAGCACCATGTACCCCACGCACCCTGTAACTTTTGCACAAAGTACGATAGAGACTTGATATTTTTGAGTGCTGTTAAATCAAAGGAAACTACTTTGGTACTCCCTAAAAGTTCTGAGGGGATTATCTTGAAAAGGGGCAAGAAACTTAGGGGTTGCCGGAGTGAAGCCTAACTTTTGGATCACCCTGTAATGTGACACTGAAGTTGATTTTGATGTTGGTTGATGATGACCATGCAGCATAGACCGTCATCAAATTCTTTTATAAAAAAAACAGGCAAGCGATTTGATCACAATGATAGAAATTTTTTTTAAAGAAAAGTAAGATATTTTGACTTTATCACATTATGGTTAATTTCAGAATTTGTCTTTGATACAGTGGACTCCAGTAAAACTGAGAGTCTCGTATGGCAGATATTATAAGAGCAACAATAAAAAGCTCCTGTACTCATTAGCTTGAGAATGGAAACGGGCAGGATTCTCATTGGAATTTATAGAAGGAGACTGCACTTTCTCTGTGTTCTTTGCGTCAATTAAACAACTTGTAGACGTACAAACAAATGTGTGTTCACCAAAACATTTGATCTGCATAACACATCTGAAAATAGAAGCTCCAGATCCAATTAAAAGTAAAAGCAAACTTCAATCAGACAATTGACCAACCGGCTATTCATCGCAGAATTAGAACATGTCAAAACTGTGCAAATTCTGATTAAAAAAATAAAAAAACAAAATTTACAAAAATTTCAACAAAGTTTTTTAAAAAAGGTACATTAAAATATTTCACTATAACTCTTCCTTCGGCAAACGCATACTCATTTGAGATTTGATGAATTTTTCTATGTCACTAGGCGATTGATTCCCCACATAATTAGCAACAAAATTTCCGTTTTTAATGAATTTAAGCGAAGGTAAATCTTCAGTTCCTACAAATTTTTTTGCTAGTTTGGGCGACAAAGTTGTGTCCACGGCCACCAAAGTCACAGAGGAAGAGTCAATCGTCTCTGCAAGTTGGGAGAAAACTTTATGCATTTCTACACAGCTCCGGCAAACTGAAAAAAAAAGATGATTCCAAAATTATTCAACTTGAAGTAAATAATATATAGAACCCCTCACAAAATAAGCACATAGATTGCCTACACTTATTAAAATATGTTATTGCAAGATTATTGTCAAGTTCATGAATAAAGTAATGATGAGAACTATTTTCGAAAGAGAGATTCCAAATCCAAATTGTAGAGATTTCGGAAAATCTGAAACAAAAGATACGATGCTTGACCTTAAAGATTTATAAAAGTATTGCAGAGCTCAACTTCAGTTTGCACTGACTGCATAAAATGGAAGCAAAACGAACTTGGTAGGCTTCGGTGAATGCTTTTCTAGAAAATAAAGTTTGAGATGCAGAATGGATTCTGTCAGGTAAAATGGTAAACTGTGGGATCATGCAAACAGTAAGATAAAAATGGTATGTTTGAATTAACTGAAAAATTCTGGGTTCAGTAGTGTCTGCAAGAGTTCTTGATACAACTCATCATTGGCTTAAGAAATGGCCACCTTGCAGAAATATAGTATGTGTTATTGTTACAAGTAAGACCAATGGGCCTGTTGCAACCTTTTGCTAGAGCAAAAATTAGAGATGTGTTGATCAGTAAATGTCTTAAAAATCACGATTAGCCCATTGGCAAAGTTTGGAATGCGCTCCTAACTTCACAATCTGCCGAAGTAACTTGTGTTTTTTCGAGCTTCACGCTTCAAAAACGATACTACGGCACAGGTGAACGTTTCGTTAGAAGTGTCGTTCTATCCAACCCCTGTGCACTACAATACTAGGTACACAAATATTCAACAAGGCCGACACCAGTCTGCCAAAACACATGTGACTGGGCGAGATTCTAATCATTTGATAACAACCCAGCGTGTTTACATTCACGATTTCTTCGCGTGGATGAAGATCCACTTTGGTTGACCTTATGCTTCCAATTGCGATCTGCACGCAGAAGCGTAGGCCATGTTGGGTGTTGCTTCTGCAAAAGGGTTGAATGGAATGACTCCTATGAGGAAATGCTCACCTGTGCCGTAGTATCGTTTTTGAAGCAGGAAGCTAAAAACAAGGCAAAGTTCTTAACTTTCTTTCTTTCTTTCTTTTCTTTTCAAACTTTGCTAATGCACTCATTGTGATTTTTGAGACATTTACTGATAGAGAGAACTCTTATTTTTGCTCCAGCAAAAGTTTGTAACAAGCCCACGCACACAGGTCAGTCACTGTGCATCTTTTTGAAATCCACTTCCTCACCCAGCCTCAGCCATAGTGACATCACCTTGGCTGCTCCCATAAGGAATACATTGCATTTAAATTTCCCGCTGCAAAAACAGCCAGCTTTACGTCACTGCGAAGTAGAGTTCCAAAACTCGTCCTCAGGAATGACTGACCTGTGTAGATTGGTCATGGTTATTAGTTAAGGAGTATGGTCCAAATTCTGTGTGCAAATGAGAAGAGCTCCTGCTAGTTACTCATCCTCCATAAAGGCTCCTTGCCAGTCAGCCTGGCCCTTATTGCTACTACTGCTACAATCATGGAATAAAAACTAGCTGCGCTATAAGGAGCGCCACAGGAAAGAAATCACAACAGGTCTACGAATGATCTTGAGAAGCTTGGCCTACGGCGATACTCTCTGTAATCTATGCTGCTTTTTTGCCAAATATTTGCACGATGCACAAAAAATAAAACTTTTCTTTTTGCAATCGACGCTTTCATAGACATCTCTTGTAAAATATACTGACTGAATGAGCAACTTCACTTCCCAGATATATTTTGCTAGGTTAAGCGACCTGAGCCGAACAAAGACTACAAGAAGGGTAGTCGACTTCCGAGAATGGTTAACCAAGATTCATAACAAACAATAATGACATGATTAACCGAGATCGTTCAAGGTCATTGAAAACACTATTCTATTGAAAAGATTGCCGTGGCTCTTCTCGTAGCAAAGCTATTTATTATTATATGCTACAATGGCATGTTGGCAATCAAGTAATCTAAAGCCATAGAAAATTGGATCCGGGTGGGCCTTTTCTACTTTTGAAGAACAATTTGTTCCACAGAAAAGCTTCAAGTGGATGTGTTATTATAATAAATATAATAATATAATTAGAAGTGTATTCGGTATTTAATAAAATCAAAAAGAGACTACAATATCAAAGAAATCTAGAATCAAAGAAAATACTAAAGATATGGATGAAAAATGAGACCAATGTCAGGAGACTTCTTCCTGAATACAAAATTATGATTAGGAAAAGATCTAGCATAGCACTGAACCTACCTGGTTTATAGAAATATGCTATCATGTTGGGATAGTTATTAATCATACTTGTGAAGTTTTGATCACTTAACCTTACTATATTCTTACTGAGATTTGCTTCAGACTGATTGGGTCCTGGTTCTAAAGCTGGGTCTTCTGGAGGCTCCAACGCTCTCATAAAACTTACAAAATTCTCTTTCTGGAAAGTAAGCAAAACATTTAACAATTTTCAATGTTTAAAAAAAACATGAGGATTGTCCAAAAAGTAAGTTTACCTATTTAGTATCTTCTAAACTAAGACAGATAAAGAAAATCTGTAAACAGCGTTGAAAAGCCAATACTGTTAGCTTTTTAACCCGCTATAGATTTTTAAATTTGGTCCAATATAACTCTAGAAGAGTGGATTTTCCTGAGCCCACCTCCTTTCGGCGCGGGTCCAAAATTTTCTCGAAGCGACATCTAAGAATAAGTTGCTGTGTCTATCGCTTATTGCAAGAAAGTAGCTTAGAGGTTGTTGAACTTGATGCAAAACATGTGTAAGCACATTTCTACATCAGAAAATTGCCCGAAAATTGCAGGATTATTCGATACTTAATGGGTCTGGACTGCGGTACATAAAAAGGTTAAGCTACAATTGGTTAACTCGTGGAGTTGTGCCACCAAATTTGGTTCTGGTGTGTGAATTACGCTCTGTAATTCGTTCTTAAACCAAGAAAGGTGACCAAAGCTGCTCAAATTCAGAATTAATTTACAATTAAGATGTTGTAAATATTGAAAATTTTTCCTAATGATGCATCTCTGACAAAATTTCTTCGAGAGCAGACGGAATAATGTGAAGGCCTGTGAACAATTAAGTCAGTGAGTGAGCAATAATGCTGACAATTTGGTTAGCTTTTGTCCAGATACAACTGATTTTAAAGTAAACACGGTCAATACTGCGATTCCCTAGCTGATTAATGTTCTTTCTTATGTTTTACATGATTTTCAACCACCTCTACGCCACCTTCTTCCGATAGGTGATAAACACAACAGCTCATTTGCTGATGGCGCTACATGAGATTTTGGACCGGCGCGGATATGAGGTGGGTTCAAAAAAATTCACTTTTCTAGAGTTCTACTGAACCAAATTTAAAAATCTATGGCGCATTAGAAAACTGAAAGTGGTGGCTTTTCAATGATTTTTAAATATTTTCTTTATTTGTCTTAGTTTATGAGAAATTGAATAGGTAAACTTACTTTCTGGACGACCCTCGTAGGTATTCACTTCAACACACACCAAAAAAAATAAATCATAGATTAGAAAGAAAAATGAATGCAGAGGTTGTAGTAAAGGTACCTTAAGAAAAGTTTTGGGAAATCAGAAAAGAATAGGCATTAGAATACTCCTCTATAGTTAGAACCCTGTTAAATTCTTGCCAGAACATTTATCTCTCCATTTTAATCATTATTTAGTGATGACAGTGAGACGCGGCTACTCTTTTGTTAGAATGCATAAAAATTCATTGAGAGGCGTTCAACTATTTGATGATCACTTTCAGGGGTTTAGTATCAAAAACCTTCCAAACTTTCAGCTACGTTTTTTTTGCTTGGAACTTTCCTCGGAGCGGTCAAAAATAGCTTATACATCAGTTCTACTTCCAAATGAGACGGAAAGATTATGCAATTTGGACAGTGCTTGATAAGATCAAGAAGCAATTTCAAATTTTGAGAGGAAAAATAAAAAATCCTTACCGTTGTTCCACTTGTATACTTTTTACTTTTTTTGTTTAAATAGTGGAAATACATGAATGTTGGATAACCCTTAACTTCATGTTGCTGACACAGATCATTATTTGTAGTACAATCAACTGCTGCAAAAACAATTCTGGAATCGTCTTTAAACTCTGCAGCAGCAGCCATAAAGTCAGGCTTCATTTTTTTACAATAGCCACACCCTAAATAGAAAATAAAAAAAATATTAACACCCAGAAATAAAACCAAATTAAGTTGTGACAAAAAATGACTACAGTAAGTATTTTGATATTTGTTTTTCTTTGAACATTCTGACCCAAGATTCATATATAGAGGACTCCAAAGTACGCAGTTTGATTACTGTACTTTTCAAACAGACAATTGCATTTAAAGAAGATTCTAGTTAAAATTCATTTTCGTTCGCATGATGGTCAAGAAGATTTTCTCAGTGAAAAAGACAGTCAAATCCGGACAAAAATGTAATTTTTATAAATTTTCATGCAATTATTTACTAGACATAAATCACTGTTGCCAAACGGATAATTATAAAGAATGCTCCTTGCTTCTACTGTCACATAGATGCAAAGCCTAACATGAAATAAGCGCATGGGATGTTTGATAGAGCAAAATTTCCTTGAGCATTGATAAATCAACTTGGGGCTTATAAGCTCGGCAGTTAAAGCCAATTCAACAGTGCTACTGAATTTTGACAAAAAGATTATGTAAAAGTGTTAAAAATGTTCTTTTTAACCTCAATTGAGGACACCGCACCAAGAACAACCTATAGGCGTATAGGTCGTTATTACGCCAATCTGCTTTTCGGATTCTACGTACCCTGGACTATGCTGTGGTAGCGATAGAATATAGATAGGTAACGTCTCGAGGTCAAAAAACCTTTTTTTTCCGAGGCAAGTCAGGCCTCTGGATCGATGGGTGCAAGAACGACCTATACGCGCGGCCTTATCATTCTCGGTTAGCGGGCATCGGCGCGGCGCGGCGATAGTGATGGCTCGATTTTTTTATCTCATTTTATAAAGATTTGTTTTTATTTCAGAAAAACGAGCTATTGAAAAAATTTATTCTCCTCTCAAACTATCCTTTCCTCCAAAAATGTATACTTCGCATTTTGCCACCAAAATGACTGTTGGGCGTAATACGGGCCTATAAATTTAAGGGCCTATAATGTGCTAGTTACCCCTCTCTATACTCACCATCGATATTCTTTTATTTTGCGTTAATCATGCGTGATTAAAATGATTTATACTGCATATTGCCACCAAAATGACTGTTGGACGTAATAACGACCTATAAACCGCTTTTTTAAATTAACTATATTAGAGTGTAAACCCAAAATGTATCGCAAAATCTACCCGGCATCCTTCAGTAGAAGGGTTAGGTCACCCAAAAACACCAAAACAGGGTACCTGCGTAGAAAAGTCTGCGCAGTACATCAAAAACAAAACTTTAAATGCGTTTTTCTCAAAACGCGGTTTCCAGTTATAGGTTGTTCTTGGTGCAATGTCCTCAATTGTCGTAATATTTGCAAATGAAGTATTCTACTAAAAGAGAATGGAACGTCAATGGTCTTGAAAACAACTTAAAATACAACTATAAAGTTAAGCTGGCATCAAATTGCAATGAAACATGTATGGTCTCCTTTTACATAGAGAGGAAAGATTATATTAAAAAATTGTACGGAGCAAAGATGTATTTTGTTAATGGTTGATGGTAACCCAAAGAATTTTACAATTGATTGCCTTGGGTGACTGATTTGAAATGAAAAGAAAATGACAGTACTTACAAGGAGCATAAAATGCTACTAAAACATGTTTCTTTTTCTTCAAAACCTCCTTGAAGTTAGATTTTTCGAGATGAACAACTTCAGATTCTTCTTCTGCCCATGGCTTCTCAGGTGGTGGAGGTGGAGGGGGTTCTGTTGGATTTTCCATGAATGTGATTATTTTAGTCACCTCTCTGGCATGGCCAGCATCAAATGCAAAAGATCCATTTTTGAAGTACTTGATTGTTGGAAATCCTTTAATATCAAAACGTTTTCCAAGTTCAGTTTCTTCCGTTGTATCAACAGCTGCTAAAACTCCTTTTATCTGAAAAAAATAACAATTCATCAAATTGATGAAGAAAATATGGGCATAAAACTTTGTCCTCGAAGGGTAAATCTAATACTCTCCTGAAGAAATATGGTTTAAACTTCTTGAAATAGGGACATTCAAGGATTTAGAAGTCAGGAGAGGAGTTGTATACTTGAATTTATTAGATTCTAAACCTTTAAACGTTTGAAAAAATTGGAGCTTGCTCATCATAGTCTGAACAAAACTCAATCCCTGACTGCGTCAAGTCAGTGCCGCTCAACGAATTAATACATGCATTTTGCAGGGTTGCAAAAAGTTCCAATGTGCGGACCATTGACCACAATCAACTGCTTTATCCTCACGGCTAAATGCACAATTAAGTTAAAAGGTTGAGCCAAAAAAAAAAGTCATCACTTTTGCCTCATATTGACTGCAATCCGATCAAAAAATTGGGTATTTTTCGCACACCTTGCATTAGATGGAGCTATTGGTTAAGGGGGAATTGAATAGAACTTGACTTTTGTCTCTATGTACAATGAGTGAGTTCTACTTTTGGCCTTTGGAAAAATGATTCCTGTATGTTGGATGCACAAGACAAGCTGGATCCTTAACTTTGAGAAAAACGCACTCCACAGCCCTGAATTCTTGATAAATAGGTGAGAGAAACAGAGTGACGAGGAAAAAAGGGTTCTCTAAACACTTTAGCCAGTCTTATTTAATACATTTGCATATGAGATAAATGACTCACATCGATAAACAAATAGGAGAGTATCCGTTAGTTACCTTTTTTGTTTTCATTTCACTGGCAGCCTGTTCGAAATCAGGCTTCATTTTCTTGCAGTGACCACACCATGGAGCGTAGAACATCACTAGAACAGACTCGTGGCTCTGTGAAAAATAAAAATCAAAGATAATCAAGAGGATATCTCACAACTCCTTAAAGTTCAAAGATTTCCACTGAAACTATGGAAAATATTACAAAAAATAAATTTGCAAAAAAAAGGAGAATAAATCTTGGCAAGGTTTGTTAGATCTAGGGTATGGGTTATTAACTAAATTGGAACATACTAGAGAGTGTGAAAAAACAAACAACATGTGACCTACAGAGTTGAATTTCTGCACAAAATTCACAAACAAATTGTGTACTAAATTTAAGGTTCAAAAATATACTCTTAAACTAGATATTAATGGTGATACTAGAATACTCAGTACTGGTGTTCGTATTATTGCAGGCTTTCCATCACATTCAATTTTAATGATGGAATAACTAATAAATTTCGATAGGGGGGGTATTCACACAATGTTTATGTTCTTTTTCTTTTCTTTCTGCTAATACTCTCTAAAACTTTATTAGAAAAATACTAGATGGTTGCCATGAAAGAATAAAGTATGCAGAAATTTGGAACACCAGAATCAAACTGCAGGAGAAATTAGTTTCAACATCTGTTATAACATCAAAAATGGGCCTGTTGCAAACTTTTGCTAGAGCAGAATGAAGAGTTGTTTCCTATAGATAATGCCTCAAAAATCACGATGAGCGCATTGGCAAAGTCTGAAATGCACTCATAAATTCACAATCTGCGTAAGAAATTTGCGTTATTTTGAGCTTCCCGCTTCAAAAATGATACTACTGCACAGGTGAACATTTTGTTAGAGGAGTCGCTCCATTGTCGGCAATATTCATCATGGCCGACGCTTGCGCAGTTCCTCGCGTAATTCGAGGAGAGTTCAAGGTCAATTAAGGCGGGCGAGGAAAATATGAACGTAAACATGCCGATTGTTATTTGGTTTAATCCTGTTCAGGTGTTATCTCGTCCCATCACACGTGTTTTGGCGGACTGGCGTCGGCCATGATGAGTATTGCCGCCAATGGAACGACTCCTCCAACAAAATGTTCACCTGTACCGTAGTATCGTTTTCGAAGCGGGAAGCTCAAAAAACCGCAAATTTCTTACGCAGATTGTGAAGTTATGAGTGCATTTCAGACTTTGCCGATGCGCTCATCGTGATTTTTGAGGCATTATCTGTAAGAAACAACTCTTAGTTTTGCTCTAACAAAAGTTTGCAACAGGCCCATTATCAAAGGTGGAATGAGGGAAAACTAATGTCATTTTCTGAATGTACTGTTAAAAATAAAAAAACACTCCTGACTACTTGAAAATTTTCTGCCTAACATTTATACATTTTTTGATGAGTATGCCTTTTTGAAGGAGGTGAAAAATAAAATTTATTTGATTTACACCTTGTTGACAAACTCAGAGATTTTTTAGTATACCTCCATTAAAATACATGTTGCAGGCATTTAACAATTTTAGGTGAATAGCCATCTGCCTCGGCAAATAGCAATCATGCCTATTAGCCCAGGCAGATGACTATTTGCCTAGGCAGTTTGCTGTTTGCCTAGGCAGCTTGCTATTTGCCTAGGCTGCCACAAGGCCGCCGCTTTTTGCTTCTTATTCGCCTATGCAGATGGCTATTCGCCTAAAATTGTTAAATGCCTGCGGCATACATAAAAATAAAAACTGTAGGAGAAGACCCATCAGTTTAGACAGTGGAAAGCGATTTTTTCCTGACTGTTTGATAGCACTTTGCATGTGATTAGACACAAGCATTATTAAACACTATGTATACAATACTTAACTGAATAGATTGTGATGACAAAAATATGCGTGTTAGGGTATACAGTTGACTTCTTGAAATTTTTTCTTGTTTGAAAATGTTAAAATAGAACTGACACTACCTGTGTACCGATTAATTATTTGAAAACATAAGAGGTTGATCATTAATATTCTATTGAATTGCCATCAATCTATCTATATGTAAAATTATGATTAATTACTTGAAAACATAAGTAAGTAATTGATCATTAAAATTTTACTAAATTTTCATGAATCTATCTACTTTTCTGTAAAATGACGAAGTGCAATCTGTTCATAAACTGGAGATGGATGAAAGAAATGACTGCAGGAAATCTTGTCTTTCTTACCTTGATGAATTCATCAAAATCACTTGATTTAAGATGAACAACATCACTTTTTGAGTCGGACCATTTCGGCTCTTCAGCTTTTTTGGGGGCCTCACCAGGATTTTTCAGGAATTCCAGTATGGCTTCTTTTTTATTTCCACCTTCATATACATATTTAAGCTGGGCATTTCTGTGGAAAAGTGACAAATATTAAATTATGAAAAAATACACTTCTGACAATTAAACATGAAATCTAGCTGTCATTTGAAAATGTTGAAAAAATAAATACTTTAACTTCTGATCCATAAAAATACAATCGTCTTCATCAAAAATACAGCCATGACCTTTGGAGGTGGTTCTAAATATGTACTATGTGACATACCTGTGGGAAAATCATAACGCAAGACTCCACCAGAAAATCAGTCTAGTTCATGCACTAAGTAAGAGCTCTTTATTATCTTTCTCTTGTTTTTGTTATTTACCTGGGTGCCATTAGAGTGCCTTCATAGACAGAGTATGGCCATTCGTATCTTTTGACTACAGGAAAACTGTGCCGCTTTTTGATTGGTCAACGAGTTTTTGGGCTTCATGATTCTCTTACGGCCGTAAATAAACAAACAAGATGACGACTCACCGTAACATTAAAAGAAACTAAAATTTGACAAAAATTTCAATTATATGGCAGTAACAAGTTAAACAAGCATATCTATGATTAACACATGAAAACACTGTTAAAGCGTCTTCCGCCTATATCACAGGGGGATGTAAGATGTGCATAACCTCAAACTTGCTTGCTGATAACAACTATCTTGTTCGTTTATTTACAGCCGTAAGAACATCGTTTCAGCCTGTTTTCTCGCGACCAATGAAAAACCAGCACAGTAATAGCCATACTCTGTCTACAAAGGTACTCTAGGTGTCATCATTGATAAAAATGAAAAAGAACGAAACCAAACAATGATAAAGTGGAATGATAATATTGAGGAAAGGTCATAGGTTAAGAGAGACTGAAGACAGGAAGCACTTACTCAAAGTATAATGTTGTGGGGAACCCTGTTATGTTGAACTTCCGTCGGATGAGGCTGTTTTCAGGACGATTTACATCAACAGCTGCAAGAACATATTTTCCTTTAGTTTCAGCAGCAGCTTTGGCATATTCAGGTTTTAATTGTTTGCAAAATCCGCACCATGGAGCGTAGAACATTACAAGTATCGGTTTAGTTTCAGATTTCAGCAATTTATTTAGACTCTGTAGAAAAGACATTATTTTAAAATTTAAGTTAGAAAAATGAAAAGAAACGCAATTGGGAAAAAGATTATGCCTCATAAAATGTCATTTTCAAACAACTCTGGTCGATGAGGAGCTGAAGGTAAAGAAGCAAGTATCTAATGTGTTCATGAAAAAACACTCAATAGACTAACTTGCCAAAAAAATACAAATAAACACACATTTCAGCTCTATTAAAACTCTGAAAAATTAATTTTGTGAAGGATAAAGGACTAAAAAACTGTAAGGTTGGTAAAAAAATATGCAAGAAGTATACACAGAGGTGATATTTAAAACATAGGTGTTGTTCGAAGTTGAGGTTACTATGAATTTGAAGTTAACAGATTGTAACCAGATAATGTTTTCTGTGAAAACTTCGAACTCATGCGCCTTGCCTCAGCCTTGCTTAGAGATAAAAAGTAATAATTACTAAATCTTTAAACAAAAACAGCTCTTTGATCATTAATTCTAAAAAGTTAGCTCCCGCATCTTGTCACTCTCGAATCAGGATGTAGGGACGAAAATGTAAGAACAGCAATACCAAATGTTACAGTTTTGCAGAGAAAATGAAGAAAGCAAGGGAGAAAGAAGAAATAAATATCTCATCTGCATTGCTGCTCGAGACGATTACTTTAAAAAACAGAACATTTCTGTCTGATAAAAAATATCTGAGAAAGTTCTGGATGAAGAGATATTCTAATGAATGAGAAGAGTCTATGCTACTGACAATGAGTAACAAGATTAACAGAAACTTACATTGAGATTCGGTAAATGAACGACATCTGCTGCACTATCATCTTCCTCCCATGGCAGGTCACCCGTTGGATCTCGCATGAAATTGACTAAGGATGCTACACTGATTTTTCTGTCATAGTCTTTATGAAAGTCTCCGTCTTTGTAATGCTTTAATACGTAGGTCTCTGTCGTTGAAACCTTCAACTTTTTGCACAGTTTTTTAGCTTCCCTATAAATTTCAAAAATAAAATTAAGGGTGACATTTTTAAACTCTTTAGAGATGGCAAGAAAAACTTGCATATGTGACCAGATTCAGGAAAAGAGACCTAATCTAATAGAAGAAAATTTTTCAAAGAAAACAAAAGCTCTTCTACAAAAAAGTTCGACTTTTAAGCTACTTATTCATTATTTGGACTTTAGCAAATCCAGATTATTTCTTAGTCGATACTCTGCCAGAAATTTAACACCACACTCAAGATCAGCATCTTCCTTTCTGAACAGCAGTAAGACTTTCATTAACTGGGCAGATAGGTATTGATCGTTATTAAATATAACAATCATGTTTAAAACAATTCATGTCCAACAAAAAACTCAATGAAAAAATGATTTTCTGCTATTTTCAACTCAGGATGGAGATGTTGCATGTGTGAGGAATTTGCGATTTGACTCTTGATTCTTATGTAAAAGTTAGCGAGAAACACGATGGTGCCACTGGATTTCTCTGAAATCAACTTCCAAGTTCAAAAAAAGCTCTCAAGTTGAGGCCAAAATGGAGGGGATATCCCTTGCTATCCTGAGAGCCCACCTTTACATCAAGACAAACTCTCCATGCAAAGATAGGGAGCAAATACATTGACAGGGCTGCCACTTTAATTGGGGACTTTAAAACTGAAAACACGGCATCACTGCTAATGTATTTGCTCCCTATCTTTGCGTGGAGAGTTTGTCTTGGTGCAGAGGTGGACTCTCAGGATAGCTGGGGATATTCCCTTCATTTTGGCCTCAACTTGAGAGCTTTTTCTGGGCTTGGGAGTTGATTTCAGAAAAAACCAGTGGCACTATTGTGTTTCTCACAAAATTTTACATCAGATTCAACATTCAAATTGCAAATTCCTCACACATGCAACATCTACATTCAATANGGGGGGGGGGGGGGGGGGGGGATGATTTTCGCAAATCCATTTTTATTCACTCATTTTTCAAAGTTGCAAGATCATTGTAAATTTATTGTTTAAACTGTAAATTACCAAAGATAATTAGATTGCTATTTGCTCTCTGTTAGTTTAAGGAAAAATTATTTCTTACCCTGTGCAATCTACAAAAATGATTGTTCCTAGTCCCTTGACAGTTCCAGCAACTTCTTTGAGCATACTGGTAATGGAGTTAGACTCTTTGACATTATTGGAAAAGTAGACGAGTACGTTTGTTTTTGTTCGCAGTAGTTTCTTGAACTCCTTGGCATCCCTGACTTCTGCAAGACCACCTTTTTTTGTGTTGGAGTGTACAGGCACGAATGCTGCAAGGAAAATCTGGGCGAGAGAAAAAAAGCAAATATTTAATCAAAGGTTTATATGTTGAAAGAGCTCAATAAATATAACAAAGATATCAAAATAATTTTGGATTACTGGAAAACAGGTGAAAAAGTGTGAGCAATAAATGGATCGCGTTAAATAAATAGGAATTACAGGATTACAGTGTTGTAGAAATGTTGCATCTTCATAATTGTCTAAAAAAATCTCTCGGAATAGCAAATACTTAGTTTTTGCATCCTACCAAAAAATTGTTAATTTTAAGGGAAAATAATTGTGTACATTTTAATACTGCACAATTATTAAATAATTTTAAAAGGGAAGAAGAAGTTACATGAATTTGAAAACACTGTAATCGCACCGGTTCCTTTCTGCTAAATGTGATCCAAATGCCAATGATGTCAGGTACTTACCAGTTAAAAATTGTGGATTGGATGTAACATATTAACCTAGGTCTTAAAATGTGATACACACAGTAAACCTCAGTATGATTACTAGTGGATAAATTGCCATAGTATTTGTTTCACTTATACTAATTTGCTGTCAATGATTGGAAAAATCATTCATTGAAAAATTAGCGGTCCAATTTACATGCAGAGAGGACTAACTCTTGATATCGATACAGTAAAATATGGAATAATGACAAACTTACAAAAAGAAGAAAAGGTATTTTTGCGTCGAATTTCATTTTTAGAATGGAATACAACTCTTGAGATCATAAAAAATTGTAGAATTCAGGTACTTTACGAGTACGCCTACATGCAGTTTAGGAAGTCATTGAATGCAAGTTTTATTGATACAATTCCCACGAATTCTTCACTGGCTCATTTGTCAGCACAATTTCGGTAATTTTAGAACTTACAATACATCGAACTTAAAAATAATTGAAGGGAAGTGTAGGTGTAGAAAAGTAATGACCAAAGACATAAAGACGGAGTGCTCGTATCTAAAAGCACGGGGAAAAAGTGAAGCTAGGTTCGGCGCTGCGCGTTTGTGTGAGTGTGTAAATGAGCGCGGGAATCCATGGCGGCAAACGGAAATTTGATTTGAACTTGTCCTCTTGATTTTTCCTTATTTCTTCTTCGAAACGTGTTTTAAATGCTTAAAACGATTATATTAAGAAAGTTCGGTCTGCGTCCTAATATATTACACCTACTTTTGCTCGGTAACAGGCAGTAATCTCAGATAAAGTTAGTTTTTCTTCTGCTTATGGTGGTTCTGCAGGTTCAAACAGGCCGTTAAAGTTCTAGATCTACGTTACTCCCAAATGAAATCAGTCGGTCGACGACGGACCGAAACTAACCTAAAGTTAATAAAATATGAGTGTGTACCTGAATTTGGGCAAAAATCAACCTAAAATACTTTGTTTCTGCAATTTTATTTATTAGTTCCCGCCCTACATTTGAATTCAAACTTGTCCCGATTTCGCCGCCAATCCTCTAGCCAATAGTAGAGGTGATTGAAAAGAAGCTCTAGAAGCTTCATTTTTTGCTTTTAGTGCTCCGTCTTTATGTCTTTGGTAATGACACATGCGGCGGAATATGAAGACTTTGCCGACTTCGAAAGTGTAATCAAAACATAACCTTCAATTATCAAAGTCAAAGATTATACTTTCTTACATGCACTCGACGTTGCCAAATTATTGTTTCCCAGTACTATACAGATTACTTTTTTATTGTTATGATCACAATACATAGGTGCGTTCATTCAGACATGATTTCAAAAAATAATGATAATAAATTTATTAGATTATAATCAAGAAAAACCATACCCAGAGTTAACAGCGAATTTTATCCTTAGAGAATTGACATAATCTTTGACTTCTTGTTTTTGTTTTCAAGCCGTAATCACTAATCAGCACAAATCAGATTCTATCTTATCAGTTTTCAGTAATATTTCGGGCGTCAGTCGTAAGTCATTCATTCCGCTTATCACTTTCTTCTTTGAACTCCAGCCACGGCCGTCGGCCAGTTTCCAAGCACGAGAGATCTAGGAATTTTGGTAAACACTTTGAATACTTACTTTCCAGCATCTAAACAATCTTATAGTGATAAGGGAGTGTCTAAAGTGCAGTTCGAAGTAAAAGGACTCCTCAGTCTCGACGTGGTGTTTCTGTAAAAAGTCGAATTGATATCTCTAATCTGTGAATCCCCCAAATATCCTTGCCTCAAAAATTGTATTTTTCAGTCACTAGTATTTGCCGTGTTTCACTTAATTCTATCCTTCACTCTGATGCAGGTATATTGAAGGTCGCTGAAGTTTACGTCGTTGCGGTCTTTTTATTTTCAACCAGTTGCAATGTCTACAAATCAGAATGCTGTGTCCATGCCTAACTATATCAAATTTGCCTTTGGTGGCGTCTCAGGGTAAGTTGAAATTTTGCATTTCGCCCGGACAAATCTCATCCGACAAATAGGTACCCTAGCTCCAATGGACTAATTTCATTCTCATCGTATGATTTTAGCTATCCACTCTTTGCCTGTCATTTTGTTAAGAGCTCACAATAAATCAGCAACCCTAAATATTGAGGGAGGATTCTGTAATCCTCCTAAATTTTCTTCCGTATTTCTATGTGGACATTCTGAAAACATTAAAAAATGTAGTTAGCGCAGCTTAATGAAAGACAGCAAATCTTGCCTAACCTCAACTAGACTCAGTAAGAAGGTGTGATTGTTAGAAAATATCAAAGTACGATACATTGATTTGCTAGTAAAAATTTTGTAGCATCTAACATTTTTCAATTTTTTCGTCATTGTAATTTTCTGTCACCAAAAACCAACAAAGATTCACCCTCTGTGTTTTCAAAATACATCACCCTTCATTTCATCGTTGAGGGTTCTTACCAAAGAAATAAAACATCCAAATGATCAGGGTTTCTTCCAACAGCAATGTGATCGTTGAAAAGACGTGGACCCGAATTATGGCCTTTATTCTTTGGACGACAGTCTTATTGCCTTCTTTAAGCTTAATTTTAATCATTTTTCTTTGCAGGATGGCAGCAACATGTTTTGTCCAGCCCCTAGATTTAATCAAGAATCGTATGCAGCTGAGCAAAACCAAAGAGCACAAAACAAGTTTTCATATGGCAAAAGCAATTTTAAAATCTGAAGGAGTGATCGGAATTTACTCAGGATTGTCCGCAGGTCTCCTTCGCCAAGCCACATACACAACCACGAGGTTGGGTGTCTACACATGGCTCTTTGGGGTTTACTCAAAGTGAGTTTCTTTTGCTATTATTTTCTAAGATTCTGTGTGTCTTTATTTTGTGTGATACAGTTTTCAAAACTTATTTTCCATAATTTACCATGAGCATTTAAAAGTGATTTCCTACATTTTTTTTCCGTTCTTTCTTTTCTTTCTTTCTATCCATCCAAAAGCTCAGTACTTATGCAGGATGTGCTGCTTTTTGGAAATTTAACGTTGCTGAATAATTTTTTCTGAGAGGTACCTTCAAATATTCTGGAATCATTTAACTGCTAAAGCTAGGTTTTTTTTGTCACATCTCTCTGGTATCAGGGCCTGTGTCCACAAAATTGAATTTCCCTACGCCTCTCTAAGTGATGATTATTTTGTAGAAAAGTCATCCCAGTAAAATACGATTTTGCAAAAGAATAGTCTACTACTTATTGATGATTTTGTTTTAATAGGGTCTTTACAAACTCAAATAATTTCCCCCCCCCCCCAAAAAAAAAAAGAAGGACTAAGGTATGAAATATTTTTGTTGCATCCACAACCCTAAGCCTAATTCCGTTTGTCCCATGATCCAAAACTTTCTACCCTGTGTTGTAAAGTTTGAATCTGTAAAATTTCGGAGCTTCACATAGCAAGAGATCAAGAACAAGCTGATTTTGCCACACAGGGTGCTTATCCTGCTTGTATCAAAATTCTAGAGCAAAAAAATTTACTAAAATTTGTAATGGGGACTCGATCATTTTTGGGAGTTTTTTAACGGAAAGCAAGGAAAATTTAATTTGCCTTGAAAACTATGTGCATTTTTGAAGAGGGTGTAAAAAGTTAATCAGCAAGTGTAATTGAATTTTTTTCTCATGTTTCCAACCCCTTGAGAAAATTTGACTTGAGTAGATGCTTAAAATGCCAAAAATTGAATGAATCACCATGCCTAAGGTTCAAGGAGGTGAGAATTTGTAAGAGTTCGAAGGTTCATACATTTAGTTTATTTCATGAGTTGGTTGGGTGGGTTAGGGATCAAGGAGGGGGGGGGGATTCATCCATCCACCCTCAGCCAGTCTGAAGAATTTACTTTGAACCTGGTCTTATGCATGATGTTGGGCCGTTCATAAAGCGCCTCAAGCCTCCCACACCTGGGGTAGAGCGAACCCAAGGCTGCCTCGGTCGGACAATATGTATTTTGGGAAGGAAGGAGACTTAACGTTGGGGTTAGAGTGGAGGGGTAGGAGGGTTTGCAGTCCATTATTGAAGAGAGATACGACATGTTGCCGGCCCCTTGATCGCCCAAATGTACAATTAGAAATTATGGTTTCTTTTTTTGAGAAGATTCGTCATAAATATTTTTCGGGGAGTGTTTCCCCTCTTTAAATCAGTGCTGGGGTTCTGACCGTCGTAACTGTGCGACCAGTCCTCCCGAGCATCGAGGCGTCTCGCTCTAAAATGGATTACATTTTGCATTAAGGAACAACTATTTCCGGCCAATTTCAGAAACGACATATGTGCCATTGGTTTCCCTATGCAGATAAGTGCTTTAATGGGAGAGCCAAAGATAAGTGGTTCCTTTTTGCAAAATGTAATCCAAATATCGTCGCCCATCTGACGGAAGGGCGTCTCTCAAGTTCCACGTGAACCCTTTAATCCATGTACATCCATGCTTTCGGGGGCTCATGTAAAAATCAAGATACGCCCTCACGTCATAGTGGCAACGATATCTTCACCTACTTATCCACTCTCGACTCGTCGGAGCATTTTACGTTTCCAAACCCTCTCAAAAACAACACCAAGATTAAAACCACTTAAAAACAATAACGAAAGGTTAATGATCTTCTGATTGTGAGACCCATGCTCCCAAGCTAAGGAAGAACGCCATAGAGTTGCCAAATTTCCTTCGATAAATTGTTTATTTTTGAGTAAAGATGTGTATATTTTTCCCTGAAATTTTCAAGACCTTTAAGTGAAATTGCGAGAAAAATTATCTGAAAAACTGGAAGGAAAATATACAGTAGTTTACCAGGAAATTCGTGTTTTATCAAAGGAAATCTGGCAACACCTGAAGGTTCATACGGCGTTCTTCCATAGTACGACAGCATGTCTCTCGGTCTAATCGCTCCGTCAACGTAAGCGTCACCGAGTCGTTGTCCAGTCACTCGAGGCGCAGTCCAACAACCAGATATCCGCCCGAAACACAGCTACCGTGAAACTTTAATTGAAATTCAATTAACATCAGGTCAAATATTTTCATTGCACGGCGGATACTTTCCGTAAAACTCTCTGAGGTCATCCGGTATTGGAGCCGAACGCTCTATCCATGAATGATGCAATTAGCGGCCGCGGCCAGCGGCTCTTTTCGGATCCGGTGTTGCCGTTTGAAACGGGGAACGTCAATTTTTACGAGGAATTTGCTCCCCCGAAGTCGCGAGTACGACAACACCGCAGGAATATATTTACCGTAGATTGCGGTAGTCCCTGCCCTAGTTTCCGCCTTCGTTTTCGACCTGGTAACGAGATTTGGAAAAGTCATCGGAATGAGAGTCTTAAAACCAAGTTGAGTAATACAAGAATAGAGAATAGCAGTAGTTAGCGCCTTGCGGACGGGTAAAACTTTTACTTACGAGAGGCCATGTCGCTCAACTCATTAGACTAATACTTTCTCTTTGGTAACGGAGCAACGTTTTGAAAAAATCGTTCAAGAGAGAAACTGAAGGACATCTGCGCGCCAATCCGTGCTTCTTTTAACCGCGAGGGAGAGGTCGTCCTTGATTGGCGGAAGATTCCCGCCAATTTTCGCCATTGGCTGGGACCAAAATGTGTAGCTTCTACAAGTATTGACATGCAGGGTTGCCACAGTCAAGGAAAATGGGGAAAAGTTATGAAAGAAGTGAGTCAAGGATAACGACCAAAAGGACATTACGACCCTAAAGTCTCGGTAAAATTGCGTCTTGAGAAGTGAGGATTCTTAAAAAAAAAAAAAAAAAAAAAAAAAAAAAAAAAAAAAAAATCAAATCAATAAATATTTTGAATTAATATTGTCATTCCGAGTTATCTGAATAGTCAGGGAATTTTCCCCTTTCATGAAAAAAGCGATCAGTTGAAATGAAGTGACTGTTTCAATACGCATCTCGTTATCAGACACTGGAAATTAGGAAAATAACTGCGATCGAACGCAAATATGTTTGCCGAAGAACGGAACTGTCACCTTTCCTATTCTGGTTTGGTTCATTCTGCGTCTTTTAGTTTTGGTTTGTCCGTGATTTTTCGTAGGTTATCGCTTAAGCTTCAAAAAAATTGGAAAATTGCAAAAATCTGAAACTACTCTAGAGTTTGCGTTAAAACTCGGAATTAAACGCGAGTATCCTCGAAATCGTTAGAAGATTCCGCGAAAAATCGGGTATTAGTGTAACTGTAAAACTAATTGCATTTATTGTCGTTCCAGTCACTCCGAGGCATCCCTAATAAAAAATGACCCAGGTGATGTGCTTAATGCCCACTTTTAAAGAATTAAAGGTATTTTTCAAAATTGACAGTCCCTCAAAATGAGCTTTCCGTGTGATTTTGCTGAAAATGGACCTTTAACCCAATTTGACCCTAGCCCCCCCAAATTTTAGCGTACCCCAAAATCGTTCGACGTGCATAAGGAGACCATAGATGTGGTGTTCTGTGCCAATTTTGAATGAAATCGAACAGATAGATTCTGAGATATCGCAGTAGACAGATTTGGGGAACGTCGGACGGACGGACGGACGGACACACATTTTTTCAAGTATGGTTATTTTGACTCCTGGGACCTTAAAACGTCCAGAAATGATGATTTTTCAACTTTTTTTTTTTCTTGGAGGATGACAATACTTCCTCTCTACCCTAGGGGAGCGAGAAAGTAAAAATAAGCATATTTTCCAAGACAACCTTCGAATTGAAAGGGACGACCATGAAAATGTCTTTCCTCGCGTATAACTTCGGACGCTCTCGTGAAATCGGGACTATAAGCGAGTATCCGCGGAGAAACCTGAAAACGTTTCGCCGAAAATTCTCGGAATGGAATTTAAAAGATGACAGAATGCAGGGTGTCTACTGGACCGGAAAGTTCGAAAATAGCACTGATTTTTTGAAGGCGGTCCAGAAGCACCGAAAAAGTACAGCAATTTTCTACAAAGGTCCGGAATGTTTTGCTTCATGCCACGGGTGATTTTTTAAAATGTAGCCTGGAAAATATGCAATCCTTCTTAGTGTAGTATTTTCCCGCTAGAACGTAATCATGAATTTGTGAAGCCAGTTGATCCTCAGGCCACCAATGAGCTTCGAATTTCGTGGCTGCATCATTTTTCTCGCGATTCACCTGTGAAGTTCGACAATTTTCGAATTTCGTCAATTTAACGTACCAAAAAAGTGCTGAATTTTTTTGGAAATATATACTGAAAAAGTATCGTAAAAGTACTTTATATTTGCCAGCCGATTTCAGTAAACTCCATATTTGTGCGACACAAGAATCCTGATATGTAAAGCCGGCAGTTTCGAAAACGCCTTCAATCGTGGCGTGATACCTCACGCATTCCGGAGAGTTCGAATAGTTGTATCGTTGCGCCTTAGCAATGCGACGAAAGATCAATATTGAAGTAGCCTCCACGCTGGCCTTGTCGGTTTTTCTTTGCTGCTATTACAGTTTTGACCGCACAGTTAAAATGTGCTCAAGCTATAATTGTATTTAGCAAGTATATCATTTTTACAAAAGAATTAAAAATGAGCAAGCGGTAAGCAATATGACTAAATACCAGGAACTCAAATCAAAAATCAACTCCAAGGTATCGAAAAAGTACTGATTTTTTTTGGAAAGATAATGCAAAAGTATTGTAAAAGTACTCAATATTTGCCAGTTAATTTTATTGGACACCATATGCGACGCAAGAATCCCGATGCGTAAAGTTGGCAGTTTCGAAAACGCCTTCAATTATGGCGTGATACCTCACGCATTCCGGAGAGTTCGAATAGTTGTATCGTTGCGCCTTAACAATGCGATGGAAAATTTATATTGAAGTAGCCTCCACGATTTCCTTGTCGGTTTTCCTTTGCCGCTGTTGGAGTTTTGACTGCATCGTTTAAGTGTGCTCAAGCTAGGATTGTATCTAGCAAATGGATCATTTTTATAGTAGAATTAAAAATGAACACGCAGTAAGAAACGTAACTAAATAAAAGGAACTCAAATCAGCAATCAACTTAGAGGTACCGAAAAAGTACTGAATTTGTATGCTTATCAGGTACTGACCTTTTTGGAAAGGTACTGAAAAAGTTCTGTGAAGGTACTTGATATTTGCCAGCCAGTCTCAGTAGATACCCTAGAATGGTATCACTCGGAAATTTTGCACCCCATGTTGTGGATTTAAAAGGAAGTCGTTCAAATAGGACTTCAAAGTATCTATTTGTTTTAAAATACAGTTGGTGCCAAGTGGAATCGCCAAGGGAGCTGTAGGCTCTCCCCGTCCTCCCCTCGCACAGTGGACAAAAATAAAAAATTCACAACTCGACATCTGAATATTTTTTTTTTTTTTTCTGGAGTTTGTCATCTTAAAGATATTTTTGACTCACAATGATGGTCAATTTTCAAATTTTTCGCTCAAAACTATTCCATACTTGGACAGAAAGGATGGGCGGGAAATGGGTCGAGAATCACTGGTCCGTAAGATATACACGGGGAAAAGACGTCAACTTCAAATGAAAATTTCTCGCTTGAAACGCAAAACGCTCTAAAAAGATCTTGCGACTATCAGAGATATCTGAAGTTAAAGTTTGTGCGCTTTAAGTTGCCTTTACATTGTTAACATAGGGCTAATTCGAGGTTGCCAACTTCGAATGAATTTTTCTCGAAAAATGCGCAAAAAATCCTGAAGTATATCATTTTCTTATTTCTCGAGTGTTTTACTTTGATAGTCGTGCCAAAGGTGCATGTCGGTGCAACTATCCTCATTATTCAAAATTAAGTGTCTTTTACCGATTTTTACCTCGGTTCCGCCCATACCCACATGACGTGTTTTTTTTAAAAAAAAAAATTCTTTGTTTTCCAGGGAAAGCGGGTCTAATCCAGGTTTCTTTGTGAAGGCTGGGCTCGGGATGTTCGCCGGGTGCTGCGGGGCGTTCGTGGGGAACCCGGCGGAGCTGGCCCTCGTCCGGATGACGGCCGATGGGCGACTCCCGGCGGCCGAGCGTCGCAACTACAGGAGCGTCTTCCACGCCCTCATCAAGATCATCACCGAGGAGGGCGTCCTCACCCTCTGGCGGGGCGCCATCCCCACCATGGGCCGCGCCATGGTCGTCAACGGGGCACAACTCGCCTCCTACTCCCAGGCCAAGGAGATCCTCCTAGGAACAGGTACGTCAAGCCCAAGATGGTAGTCCATGCTGCCTTGCTAAGGAAAAACGCCGTATGAACCTTCAGGCGTTGCCAAATTTCCTTTGATAAAGCACGAATTTCCTGAAAAATTTATGAAAATTCTCCTTTCGATTTTTCAGATAATTTTGTGCGCAATTTCACCTAAAGTCCCTGAAATTTTCAAGGAAAAATATTTATAACTTTCCACAAAAATAAACATTTTATCGAAGGAAATTTGGCAATTCTCGAATGTTCATACGGCGTTCTTCCTTAGCACGGCAGCATGGTGGTAGCCTGTGCTATGTCATCTTTCTCACAGAAAAAATTAAATTGCTGATTTAACATTTCAATTGCTAAAAAAAAAAGTGACCGTACGCGGAAAAAATTAAATTACTGATTTAACAATTCAATTGCTGAGGAAAGTGACTGCAACGTTTCAACGTAGATTTAACAACAAAAACATGCTACTTTAACCACTATTGAAAGCTAATTTAACCCCGGGGGTGGTTAAAGTAGCATTTTTGTGTTATAAAATCTACGTTGAAACATTGCAGTCTGTTTTTTAAGGAATTGAATCGTTAAATCAGCAACTTAATTTTTTCCGTGTAAGTTCTCGACGAGTCAAGGAGACCTCTGCATGGAACGCCAAGAAATTCGGCGCTGGCTAAATTGTTTTATTATTTGATATGATATTCTTGACCAAGGTAGGTAGCAGGAGAAAATACAGGGAGAGGGAAACGGGCGAAAAGGCTAAAATACGATCACAAACAACCTGAGACGTTTCCTCTCAAAACTGAGCCATTTTCAGTCGGAAAATAAATTTAAAATTATAAAAATATTAAAGGAAAAACCTGCGATGAAATGGTGGTCGAGATCAGAGAAAATACATTGGTGGGGGGGGGGGTGTCCCTCTGATCTCGGCCACACCAATATGTACTTAGGTCTCAGGTTTTTTCTTCAACATTTTTTAAATTTTTAATTTATTTTCTGACTGAAAATGTCTCAGTTTTCAGTGGAAACGTCTCGAGTTTTTAGTGTTTGTATTTTAGCCTTGTTTCCCGTTTTTTCCCTCTTGTTTTTTCTCTTGTTACCATTGTCTCAAGGTAACTTCACTTAGCTTGATTCTTGACAGCCCCTTAAGCACAATGAGAATGTGAGCTGTAACTTTATCCGTGCGTTTTAAGAATAGGGAGGCTAAAAAGACAATTTTTCAAAATGGTCACATGCATCATCAAGTACGTATTAATATTGGTGTGATGATCAAGAAAAGCTCCCTTCTTCTTGCCGTGTGCCAGCCAGGAAGATATGACGGACTGTTTAAAACAAAAGGCTTTGCATATCTGATACATCAGCAGTGCCGCATCTCCACAAATAAAAATTTTCCTCAAAAAAATTTCATCCGCTCATTTGATTTTATGCTTACCTATTAAAATTATTTTACTCTCTCTGCGCAGGTTATTTCAAAGAGAATATCACTCTTCATTTTACCGGTAGTATGATTTCTGGTCTCATTTCCACTGCTGCCTCTATGCCGGTAGATATTGTAAAAACTAGGTAATCTTTGCTCCTTTTCACTTTTCAATTCTTGCTACTCTCTTTTTTTTGTCAGGATCTCAAATGCATATTTGTTTTTCTTCTGTTCAGTACCTCAATGAATTTAATACAACTGAATTCATGTTTGCGCATTATACATATGGACAGCGTTTAACAGAAAGGAACCAAGCCACATCAGCTATTGCCAAGTTTAACTGGGCAATTAAATTTTTTATGAGAGAACGTTTGTTCGGATTTCTTTGAAAATTTTAAGGAATTTGCTTCGTACCATGGAGAATTTTCACTGAAATTGGCATTAAAATCCGCACAACCGTTTTCATGTAGAAAATTAAATTGCCCAATTAAATTTGGCAGTAGCTAATGTGTCTTGGTTTCTTACTGTTAAACGCGGTCCATATAGCATCATTATTGTCTTCATCACTTTCAACTGCACCTAAGTATGCAATATTTTCCTGATAATAAAATGTTTTGTGTCTTGAAAAAAAAGTATTTCCTTTTTTTTTAGATTTTTTGAAACTCAGTGAAAAATTCAGGATTTATCTGTATGAGGAGTAAAAAACCAATTTAAAGTTAGAGTGTTTTTCTAACTTTCAGAAGTTTTACCAGAGGTTACTTTTTTTAGATTGTTCCACCGTACTTCCCTTGACAGTTTGATCAAGGATTGTTGAAGGATTGAAGGATTGAAGGATTGAAGGATTGAAGGATTGAAGGATTGTGGATTGTGGATTGTGGATTGTGGATTGAATTAAGGACTCCTGGATTTTCGGATTTAGATTTTTAAAAGTTACATGATGCTGTGTTAGATTAGACACTGGCACACAAAATTTGATCCGGAAACTTATAGAAATGACTACAAAAATATTATTTGCAAGTGAATTTTGCAAATTGTTTTGTCTCTCCACTATTAGTTTTCTTGTAATGTGCTTTCTAAAGTATGTTTACATGTTTCTCATTCAAATGTTGTGTGAAAATATGTGATGCACGCAGTGTGTTGTGAAAATTAGGGATTTTTTCAAATAATGTCTTAAAATTCAGAGGTCATTAATTGATTGATTGACTATCAAATCATTCTGGAAAGTATCAGTATTTCAAAAGATTTGCATCCACTCTCAATGGGTATTCTAAAACCTATGCTCTCTCTGCAATTTGCCTCTCTCTGGTTCTCATTTGAACCTACTTGGAGTGAGTTTGACTTAAAAATCAGATATGAAATCCTATATTTTGTCAATTAAATTAATTCTCCAGGCACTTCGGATTTCCCGATAATGTGTCCCTACATTGATGACAATTTAACTTCTCAAATCCTAATCATCTTTTCCAATTACAGGATCCAGAATATGAAAACAATCGATGGTAAACCAGAATTCAAAGGTGCTTTAGATGTACTAGCCAAAGTTGTGAAAAATGAAGGCTTTTTTGCTCTGTGGAAAGGATTCTTCCCGTACTACGCTCGTCTGGGCCCTCACACTGTTCTTACCTTCATTTTCTTGGAACAGTTGAATGCTACATACTTGAAAATGGCAAAGACTGAATCCTAAGCACTGTGATCTCATTCTCTACTGACTGCCGTACCTTTATAAAATATCTCAATACTAATTTTACTGTTGTGAGTGAAAATGCTGTTACATACCAAAGTTTCTCTAATTATCATTAAAGATATGTTTTGCCCCAGCTAGCTTGAAATTTTCAGTATGGCTTGTTTTTGTAGAAAGAACTACTTTTCAGGGTTTTTAAACATTCTTAAGTTTATTTATTGTGAAAAATAATTCCATAGAAATAATTTTGAACATGCAAAACTGTAGGATTTAAGTAAAAGTACAGCATTTTTGCTCCACATATGACAGTATATTGCTTGCCAACGATTTTTTTTTAAGAATATTTGCAAGCAAACTGGATGATTTTAATTGGTTGTAGGGGGCTTGTCTTTAAAGCTGCAAGGAAAATTTAAAAAATCTGTGGTCACCGACGTGAACTAGAAAATTGAAAAGAAAAATTCCAGAGGTATCTGTAGTTAAACATTATGCAGTTTGACAAGATTTTTTTATTTTATTTTTTTTTTTATGGTTGTTGTTTAAACTACAGTGGATGATATGTTTTTTCAGTGTTCCCATCGGCTCTTACTTAGTGCCTATTTTCAAGAACATATTTTTGTGATATTTCGTCCAAAAGTTGGAAAATTTTTCATCAAATCCATTTTTGTTTGCATGCCCCTAAAATGAGTTAATTTAAATGAAATGAACAAGCATAGCAAAGCGTGCTCTAAAATAATGGTGGGTTGATAAGTTTAAAAAGTATCACAGAATATAAAATTGGCCAAAATCTTGCAATTAACTCTGAATACTTAATGACCTTGAAAAGGTGTGACTGAAACATTTTAAAACTAAGACTTTTTTTTAAAACACATGTTTAACTTTTAGAAGGACCTAACCAGAAAGACTTTTAATGTATAATCTAGGCAAATCTTTGTAATTAGGATTGGCTTTCTACGGAGAGTTGGTTGTACTCAGTCTGCGCTGCTGTCTTTGGCCGCTACTAGTTTCAAGGAACTATCTAACTCTTTCATGACAATGCTTGAAGATTTGCAATATAGTGAACACTAGATTTCTTCAATCAAAAATTTCTGTCAATGCTTGTCTTGCGGCGGTGATAAAATGCAAAGAAACTAATATTTTTATCCATTCTGAGGTGGAAGGTAGCAGCCAAAGGCAGTATGTCAGCGTGCATCAAAGGCGTGAAAACGATCGGTCCGCAGACTAGTCAGAAATTAGAAAACTCATGTTTCAGGACAATACCTCCTCCTTCAACAGGTTTTCAATAGAGTTACTTCCTGGCTGCTAAATCTTATTAATTAATTTGGGGACAAACTGGCTACCTGCATACTCCTACATTACCTTCTAATTTTTTGGTTGATTTAAATTGATAGTAGGTAACATTAAATTACCTGCAAGATATGTTACTCTCAAAGCACTGGCCGAGAGAAGACAACTAATATGCACATCTGATGAATCATTTTTTGTGCTCCCTAGTGTTTTTTTTAAAAGCATTTGTATGCTTTTAAACTTGCCATACATTGTAAGTGGTGACTTGCTCAATGTACACAAAAAGGCCATGCTCTGTGTTTGTTCATCCGAGGTTCGTTGACTTGACTCAGCTTAAGTATGAAAGACTGCCCACTCCCTCATGATGCAAAATTTCAAATGATGATATGAAATCAGAAAGCGTATCTCATAACCTCCAACTCTGTTTCCAAAGACTTTTTAGACGCCTAAAATTACAAAAACAAGCAAATGTCCATTTGATGCAGGTTTTCTGTCGAGCCAAATTGCTTTAAAATGTCTTGTATAGCTGTGCCATGAATTAGTAGGATTTTTTCTGTTGGCGATTGTGCATTTATGAAACTCATAGATTAAGAAAATGAAAAAAAAAAAAAAAAAAAAAACACTGTGTCATGGAATATCATGCAGAGAAGGTACTTATATATCTCATTTGCTCCCATTTGCAATAAAAATCTCTTCTTTTTCCTGTAATTTACCCTCAATCATAAAGTTTTCCTACCTCTCAATTCTAAATTTTTTTTAATAAATTGTATCAGCGCTTGCTTTCTAGGTGCAATTTCATTCTGTCAATACTCCTCATCCTTAAAATTTGAATATAATTGTTGATTAAATGTTAAATCATTTTTAAAAATATTCTGTTCTCTATTCTTGTTGGTTGGAATTTTTCTGAGGTGTTTATTGTTATGAAACTGTAGTACTTGTTGTGGAATACTTATTATCTGTTGTGTAAAGAAATATTTTTATGATAGTTGTTTTCGTAGTTATGTATATTGTATTTGAAAATTATATGTATGAGGCTTTAATATTACTGCATACAAGCACTGATTGCGTTAATCCTTTGAGAACCATTTGTCTTATTTATGTTTATGGTTGCACAACTCCAAAACTGAATAATTCGTCCCAGCAAAGCATTTTTTGTGCATCAAAGCTTAAATAATGAATCTACCGTACATGCTCACTTCACATCCACTCTTAAACAGTATGTTGCCTGAAATGATTCATTAATTACGTGTAAATATCTCTCAGCATCTGTTTCTTTTTTTAAGTAGAGCTCCTTGACGTAAAAATTCTCTAAAGCACCTCTAAAAGAGAAATTAAGGTCAATTAAATTTTTGGACTGAAACTCTCTGTGCTTGCCTGTATGTACTCATTTTTGCAGCGTCAAACTTACCAATAATTTGCATATGTGGATCATATTTTTGTGATGAATCAATCAGTGAACTCTCTGAATGTTCTATTGTAAATACTCAAATGTTGCTGCGCTAACTTTGTCCATTCCAAAGTATGATCATCAACAAATATTCTGAAAGTAGCATAAGAATTCGCAATACTAAAAAAATCTTTTTCGTTTGTAAAATTAAGTGTTAACTCTTTCATGGTTAATATTTTCTCTATCAAAATTAAACATTTTAGACTTTTACATTTTAGCATTTCTGTTTTTACTCTACTAGTTATTTTATCATTTTTATTGTTTCTTTTGTTTTATTTCAGAATTTTCTTGTTTTGTTTTTGGAATTTTGGCCCCTGTCCAAGACAATACTTCTGGCTCAAAAATAAACATCTTTTTATTTTTGAATTTTACAGCCCCTTAATCAATTTTTCCCTGAAAACCCTATCTAAGTACCACCTTCTTTAGGTATTAAAACACTCGCATTAAATTGATCAATTTGTGATTATCCAGAGGGGAAGGAACCGTTCACAATCTGAATTACACTACTCAAGTAAAAATTTCCATTTACCTACATTTTATTTTCTTCAGGGCAAATAAATCCAAATTTTAATTTCTTTGATATTCTTAGAATGAGTGAGGAAAATACATAGAAAAGTGAAATAGAACTGAAATGCTACCCACCATGCCTGCAGTACAATACAGTATTATTATGTATTACCTATAAAATAAATGCAAATTGACTTACAATTAGTCCTGAATTACTTAAACCATTTTAACGGAGAGAAACTTGGTTTTGCTAAAATCATATGGATGGCTGCAGAAAAAAAAATAAGTCTTTAACTGTAACGTCGTAAATATGCATTCATGTTTGACATTTTAAGAGAAAACTATTAACAGGAACATTTTTACGGTATTTTCTTCTTTTTTTTTCCAATTTCAGAGTATAAATGCACCTCTGAAGTCCCTCCCCTCTCCCGGAACGCAGCCGCAACGGAGGATCAGACACCCCCCCCCCCCNGAGCGTTAAAAACCAAGATTTCAAATCATCTTCAACAAAATAACATTTCGATCGATAAAATTTTATACAGAGGCAATAACACTTACAGTTACTAATTCTAATTGAACATTATCTGTCACTAGAGTACCTTTATAGACAGAGCATGGCCATTTCATATTGGTCGCAAGCGAATAGGCTGACACGATGCTCTTAGGGCCGTAAATAAACAAACAAGATGGCTGTTATCAGCAAGCAAGATTGAGGTTATGCACATCTTACATCCTCCTGTGTTAAAGGTGAAAGGCGATTTAACAATGTTTTCGTGTTTGCGAGTGTGTGTGTGTGTCCCTTTGACGAGCCGCGGGTTGCCGCATCTGATCAATGAGTGGGAGAGAGATAGACGATAAAACGGCGGCTTGTCAAAGCCGAGTGTGCTCCTTTGACGTGCCGCATCTGAGCAATGAGTACGAGAGAGAGAAAGGACAAAACAGCGTATGGACCAATCCAAGTTGAGCCTTAGTCCCCGTTTACGGTCATTCTTTCCAGGGCTCATGGTCGGAAAGCACTCCGGTGCTTTTTCGGGGCACCCGGATTCGGGCTCGCCACTACCACCGCGGACCAAATTACGAGGCCCAGCCTGTATTTTTTCGGGTGTGTGTGTGTCCGTTTGACGAGCCGCGGGTTGCTGCATCTGATCAATGAGTGGGAGAGAGATAGACGATAAAACGGCGGCTTGTCAAAGCCGAGTGTGCTCCTTTGACGTGCCGCATCCGAGCAATGAGTGCGAGAGAGAGAAAGGACAAAACAGCGTATGGACCAATCCAAGTTGAGCCTTAGTCCCCGTTTACGGCCGTTTTTTCCGGGGCTCATGGTCGGAAAGCACTCCGGTGCTTTTTCGGGGCACCCGGATTCGGGCTCGCCACTACCACCGCGGACCAAATTACGAGGCCCAGCCTTTATTTTTGTTTTTTTCGTGTGTTATTCGTAGATATGCTCGTTTAAATTGGTACTGCCGTATAATATAAATTTTTGTGAAATTTAGCTTCTTATCGATGTTACGGTGAGTCGCCATCTTGTTTGTTTGTATACGGCCCTAAGAGCATCATGAAGCCTAAAAACTCGTTGACCAAATAAAAAGCGGAACAGTTTTCCTGTAGTAAATAGATAGGAATGGCCATACTCTGTCTATAAAGGTACTACTCTATACAGGGTGTTCGAAAAGTCCCCTCCCCCCCCTCTAACTTTTGACCTAATTGAGGTAGAGATTTGAAACTTGGAGGGTGTTCTTAGATCAAAGGGAGCTACTTTTTGACCCCCTCAAAATTTTGGGGGGCCCCCCCTTGGGGGGGTTACGGACCCTAACTTTTTTTTTTCAAATGGGAAGACCCCCTTTGTGATACCTCGTTAGAAAGAACATAAAAAAAGAAAAATTTTCGCGCAAACCCGAAGTCATTATCTCAAACCGTTTCAAAATGGCGGCCGGTCAAAGTTCAAAATGGCCGAAAATTGGCACCTCTGCTATTTGCGCATGGATTTGCTTGAAACTCGGTAGCTGGGGGTATTTTGGCACGAGAAAAACGAATTTGACGTTAGATTTTTAAAAAAAACCTAATTTTGCAAAATGGCCGCCGGTTTAGGCTCGAAATTTTGACAAACTCGATTTTTTGCCGATGGATTCACCTAAAATTCGGTAACAGGGGGTATTTTGACCCGAGAAGAACGGATTCGACGTTAGATTTTTAAACAAACCCTCATTTTTCAAAATGGCCGCCGATTAAAGTTCAAAATTGTCAACAATTGGCAACCTCGACTTTTTGCCGATGGATTCCTGTTAAATTTCAAGCTTCATCTTCAGGATTCTCAGCTTATCGTTTTCCTCCCACCCAGATACCCCCAAACATCGAGTTTCAGGCGAATCCATCGGCAAAAAGTTGAGGTTGCCAATTGTTGACAATTTTGAACTTTAATCGGCGGCCATTTTGAAAAATGAGGGTTTGTTTAAAAATCTAACGTCGAATCCGTTCTTCTCGGGTCAAAATACCCCCTGATACCGAATTTCAGGTGAATCCATCGGCAAAAAATCGAGTTTGTCAAAATTTCGAGCCTAAACGGGCGGCCATTTTGCAAAATTAGGTTTTTTTTAAAAATCTAACGTCAAATTCGTTTTTCTCGTGCCAAAATACCCCCAGATACCGAGTTTCAAGCAAATCCATGCGCAAATAGCAGAGGTGCCAATTTTCGGCCATTTTGAACTTTGACCGGCCGCCATTTTGAAACGGTTTGAGATAATGACTTCGGGTTTGCGCGAAAATTTTTCTTTTTTTATGCTCTTTCGAACGAGGTATCACAAAGGGGGTCTTCCCATTTGAAAAAAAAAAGTTAGGGTCCGTAACCCCCCCAAGGGGGGGCCCCCCAAAATTTTGAGGGGGTCAAAAAGTAGCTCCCTTTGATCTAAGAACACCCTCCAAGTTTCAAATCTCTACCTCAATTAGGTCAAAAGTTAGAGGGGGGGGAGGGGACTTTTCGAACACCCTGTATGTATGTCACGCGTGCGCTGCTAGTTCGACCTTGACAGTTCCCCTATACAGGTGCTCTACTTTCAGTTATATTTTCGCGGCTGAATTTAAAAATTTCGCGGATGACTGTTGACTGATGATACATCGCAGTTCGTTGTTGCATGTCGTTGAATTTTCATGCTTCCCGATTGTTTACAAATCCCGGAGTTACTGAAATTTTCTAAACTTTGTTTGAGTTTTATCCCGAAGTTTTAATTCGTGCGTCTAAAAGTTGTTCTTCTATTCATTAGAAATAAGTCTAGGTAATGCTTTAACATGGTGAAACTATCTCCCGAATTGATTTCACAATGTATGCAGTATACAAATCCTGTCCACGACAGAGAGCTAGATTTAAGAGGTAAGTGGTCTATTTGTTCATTTTCTTATAGATACATAACCATTTTGAAAACCGTTAATACACTGTGGGTCCATCCTACTTTCTCCTTAAATTCACTATTGAGAACAAGCCACAATGATGGTCCATATCATTTGCGCTTATCGGGAGGTTATGTCTAGGTTATGTCGATCCCTACGCTGAAGCTTTACTTTTCATTTTCAAGGTTTCATAGAAATCATGAGAACAATCATCACAAATCAGGCTCTATGTGCATCAATTCCCAAAATTCTCTCTAGCTGAGTCATATAGACACCACAAATCACTGAATGACTTTGGCGTGATTTAATGTGGCTCGTCAAGCTCAAGTGACATGGTCGAACTGGCATGCAATATATAGTACCGATTAGATCAAGAATTTCGGCAGATTTGGAATTTTTAGCCAAACCAAGGACCATGGCCCCTGTGCATGAGGCAAAAGAATCATACTAAACCAATAAATTTGCATAATGTAGGGAAATGAAAGCAGAATTCTGTTTGGAAAAGAAACCTTGTAATCGATACTGTTAACAATTTCTGATCATTATCGTTCATTAGATTAAATCTTTAGGGTTGATTTTTTGGCTTTTCCTTACAAGACAAGGGTTTCATATGAATTTGAATCAGTGTTTTGGGCGGCACGGACCCCGTTACCAGGGACCTAGTACCCCCCCTTGTAGTAGGCTCGCCTAGTTTTGTGACTGTGGAAAGTTGTTTCAATTTTTAACCTTCCTTGTTTTCTTTTTCAGGTTATAAAATACCTATAATTGAAAATTTAGGTGCAACTTTTGATCAGTTTGATACACTAGATCTCTCGGATAATGATATTCGAAAGTTAGACGGTTTCTGTTTTTTGAAGAGATTGAAATGTCTTCTCTTAAATAATAATCGCATCGTGTAAGTATTCTTTTAGATTCTTATTTCCTAGTTCCCCAAGAATAAAATACAGAGTCGAATGTAATGTGAAATACATTTGGTTTTGGTTTTGGAAACTTCCAAGGGTTCTCCCATTTTAAGTTTTCACAGAATTTTGCCCAACACTGAAAATAACACAGTTGACAGTTGGGTTCCCTCATGACAGCGTGGCCAACAGTTTGGTTCTCCCTAAACCCTTAAAAAAAAGAAGATAAAAAACTTCAGGTTCCCTTAATTTTTTCACCCTCACATGGGTTGCCCCATTTCACGCGAACGGCCGGTCGCGTGGTTGGAAGTTTCTGCACCCCTGCCTTTCTGAATCAGTCACTGTGCATCGTTCTGAAATTATATTTCCTGCCTGGCCATCATTTGACCATAGCTTGTGTGACTTAGAATGCCGTGAATGCACAGAATGGTCTCAAAACTCGTCCTCAGGAATGACTAACCGTGTGTGGATTGGTCTTGGTCCAAATATTTTTAATAGCAATAATTTTACGGCCTTTTGGCCCGGTTCCTAATTGTATTTCTCCAAATTCTTTTTTTTTCTCATTTTGAGAATCTATTAATATATTAAATAGCATCTAATAACTTTTTACCTTGATAGTCTGCTATGATCTGACAAGCTCTCCAATCTGCTCTCTTTCAGTCACTATTTCTCACCACTCAATTCCTTTATTTTTATGAGAAGTATTTCAACGGTGTCACATTATTTCTTTCTTCCTCACTCTTTTTTATAACTCTTTTTAAAAGTTTTTCTCACACTTACATGTTTTTCATACTTTTAATTTGCATTTGTTTCATAGGCGAATTGCAAATGGCTTAGAAGAATTTATTCCAAATCTAGAGTCTCTGATCTTGACAGGAAACTTGATTGATGAGTTATGCGATTTAGATCCCCTCAGCACACTGCCAAAACTCACCACACTTAGTTTATTGTATTGTCCTGTTACAACAAAACAGCACTACAGGCTGTACGTTGTGTACAAGATTCCTCAACTGACGCTTCTGGATTTCAAGAAAATACGACTAAAGGTATGGATTTTAAGTGTTAAGCACTGGAGTGGAGGGAACGGTGAAAGTAACCCTGAACGTACGCAAAAATGCTGGAGTTTAAAGTAAAGTCGGCAGTTTCCTTCTAAATAAGTGAAATATGAACTGAAATTTAGGAACAGTTTTATTGAAATTTGTCTCTAAGTTTAGACACTATTAATTTGCTTCTACATGCTAGCATTTGTTATATATTGATTTAATCACAATGCGCGATTATCTGCTCATAAATTTACCTTTCAAAGTTAAAATTCATGTATTTGAATAGTGCATATGTGAAAGGTTTAACCGGCACTAGCGTAACCACGTTACATGTTGCTTAATCTCCTTTTATGTTAATTTTCTCAACAGACAAGTAATCTTCATTATGACTTCAAATTTTATGAGTATTATCTTTGTAAGGTGGAGAAATGCACAGAAAGTTTCAGGGCATTATGTTGTTTGATTCTCTTAAAAAAATAAAATTTGAGAGGAAATTGGGCAACATGAAGTGGACTTCGGCCAATTTTGATTAAGTCTGCCCTTTTATTATGAGCCTTTTATCAGATACATAGAGTGATCTGAGTGACATAGTGACAATAGCTCTTTGGAGAGGAAACCCTTGTGACATTTAATGTCTCAATTCATCAGAAATCAGTATGAGCCAGCAAATAAAATGAACTGCATTCATCAGAAAGGAACGAAGCCACATCAAGCTATCGCCAAATTTTAGTGGGCAATTCAATTTTTTGCAGGAGAGCGTTTGTGCAGATTCCTTTGAAAATTTTAAGGAGTTCGCTTCAGGCAGAAAATTCACTGAAATTTGCACTAAAATCCGCACAACCGTATTCATGTAAAAAATTAAGTTGCCTGATTAAATTTGGCAGTAGCTGATGTGGCTCAGTTCCTTTCTGCTTAATGCAGTCCTAATTCATACAGGTCAAATTCTGTTTCTTAATGAAAACTATGGACCGGCTATAATACACTTGAAAAAGAAGGTAGGTCCAACAGTGTTTAGGACTCAGACCTCACATTATTTTCACTCTTGCTGATTTCCATTTTCGATCTTTTTTTGATCAGGAAAGAGAAGAGGCCGCAGCTTTGTTTAATAGTGATTATGGGAAAGAAATGCGCAGAACCTTGGAAAAAAGATCGAAGGCCAAAACATTTGTTCCTGGAGCTCCTCTTAGTAGACCTGCCAATGGAACATCCAATGGTAAGTAACTACTTACGCATTAACCTCTCCTCTTTTTATCGTCACAAACACAGTTCCCCCATCTCAACCCCCTTTTCTTTTCTCCCACAATGATAGTCATCGATGGGTCAACTTTTAATCAGTGTGAAATTGAGTGATGGTTCTCAAGTTGTGAAACTAAATATGACCGAATCTGTGGGAAGGGATTATCTTCAGGCAGAAAATTCGAGCAATCAAAAGCTGACAGCCGAGTTGATGTAGCAAGGCCATGGTTATAGCTGAATTCAGCCCATCAGTAAACGTCATCCCTACCTGGCTACATCATCGGAGCTCACCAAAAATATCGTTTCAAAGAGGTCCCATTTTTGACATTTACTACATGGGGTTTCTCCATCATTTAGGATTAAAATAATTTAACAAAATTCCTAGAAGCTTGGAAGCTTTCCGTACTTTCAAAGGACCGGTTGTAGTATTAATCACCTTTTTTTTGGTTTCCAGGTCCTTCATCGGAACAAATTCAGAAAATTAGAGAAGCTATTTCAAAGGCTTCATCTTTGGAAGAAGTCGAACGACTCAATAGACTCTTACAAGCAGGACAAATACCTTCAAACTCTAAAAGTAAGTTAACATATTTTTTCTGTCTTATTTTTTTCCTATAAAAAGGTACAATGAAAGAAAGTAGCAAGTAATTTTGTTTCAGAATTGTATACCAATCACTATCTTAACGACAAATGAAAATTTGTTGCGTTTAGTAAAATTTTAGTACAATGATCGCTCTTAATAAATTGGAAATACCTAATCATTTAAACTGAGGCTTAAGCTGTGAGCCTCCATGTTTTTGAGAAATGTGCAATTATGCTCTGTTTTCTTCTCTCATCGTTCTGCTCTACGCTCCGGTCAATGGGTCAAGAAAAATTAAAGAGAAGAAAAGTTAATTATGAGAGGCAATATGTTATGATGGTGTGCGGCATCCACACTGTTCTTCTCAGTTACACCTCAATTGAGATACCACTTATTTAGGGAATATCTCAACTTGGAAGCGCATGAGTATTAATGAAATTTTTTTGCTCTCATTTTAGAACCTGAAGGTAATCAAAACATTGGAAACAATGAAGAAGAAGAAGAGGAAGAAGATGAAGAAGAGGAGAATGAGGATGTTGAGATGAAAGAAGATCTCACCAATGGCCACTACTGATGTAAGAATAAAATATTTCATTTTATAAAATCTCACTCTAGTAAGTAACTTAAATTTAAAACCATGAAGTCCCAACTGCTCTCAGGTTGTCCCTAAATTAAGTCGGGCCCTTTTTCTGATGTATCAACACCGTCCTTGTTAGGCTGAATGGAACCAACCATCCTCCTCCCCTCCCCCCCCCCATTT